ACCCTTATGACTATCTGTTCTAGCTACCCGAAAATCATGAAGCATCCCGAAGTGATGAACGTTCCGAAGATCATGAAAGTAACCCTTATGGCCATTTGTTCAAGCTACCCGAAATCATGAAGCATCCCGAAGTGATGAACGTCCCGAAGTCCATGAAAGCAACCTTTGTGGTCATTTGTTCAAGCTATCCGAAAATCATGACTCACCCCGAAGTGATGAACGTCCCGAAGTCCATGAAAGCAACTATTATGGGCATTTGTTCAAGCGACCCGAAAATCATGAAGCATCCCGAAGTGATGAACGCCCCGAAGACCATGAAAGCAACCCTTATGACAATCTATTCAAGCTACCCAAAAATCATGAAGCATCCCGAAGTGATGAACGTCCCGAAGACCATGAAAGCAACCCTTATGGCCATCTTTTCAAGCTACCAAAAAATCATGAAGCCTCCCGAAGTGATGAACGTCTTGAAGACCATGAAAGCAACCCTTATGGCCATCTGTTCAAGCTACCCGAAAATCATGAAGCATTCTGAAGTGATGAACGTCCCGAAGACTATGAAAGCAACCTTTATGACCATCTATTCAAGTGACCCGAAAATCATGAAGCATCCTGAAGTGGTGAACATTCTGAAGACCATGAAAGCAACCCTTATGGCCATTTCTTCAAGCGATCCGAAAATCATGAAACATCCCGAAGTGACGAACGCCCCGAAGACCATGAAAGCAACCCTTATGGCTATCTGTTAGGGCAAGCAACCAACAACTATGATGACAACAACATGGGCGATGAGAAATCCGCAATTTTTCAAATGTATCCTGAAAATTGAGAATAAAAGTGAAGAAAACATGAGCAATGAAAAATAATTGGGTCTAGGTCATATGTATGATGAAAATTATACGTGTTGTTAACCTTCTCTCGTATTAGCGTGTGAGAAAAGTCGGAGCCAAAGATTCGAGTGATTGCAGAATCGTAGAAATACCAGCTGTTCAGTTCTAAACAACTTTGTGCTCAAGAAAGTAAGAGTGCTGGGCCAAGACTTGGAATTCGACCCAGTGGAATGGGCATGGACACCAGGAAGAAGCGAAAACCTAAAAACCAATGTATTCATCTGCAATAACCCTGTTCAGAAGTAGCCTGGGGCCCAGAACTCGGCCCCAGGCAACGCAGACCTGAGTTGGTCTGCGCTGGGCTGTGTGACCAAGACACGCCTAGGCCTGAGTCTGTCACGTTTGGCTATGTGACCTAACGCTGCACACAGGAAATTCAAAGGTCAAAGTCAACTGTAGAGTCAAAGGTACCGCACCCAGGTTCTTGGTTGGATACACTCACTTGTTGTGCGCAGGTACCCAGACAAGCATCCAGGCCGGAGGGAAGTCGGTTTCAGACCAATCTGGGCCTTCTTTGCATCGAGATCTGGACGCCTGAGGGTGGTAGCATCCGGGGTTTAGACTCCGAGTCAATGCTACATAACCGCTGACTTTCCTGACTTTGACATTCATTCTGTCTTGCGTCAATGCTGACTTCACGTGTTGACGACGCGACGCTGGCTCGACGCTGTGACTCTGGTGGACGCTGGCTTTGTGCTGGCATTTGGGAGATCACGGCGACGTGCTGCTGACTCGGAATGGTGGCTGGCTAGCTATTGTCTTCAAGGCATGCTGACATGGCAGCTTCCGCGCGTTGCTGCTGATGTGGTTGCTGCCACGTGTTCTATCGGCTGACGTGGCCGGACTAAGTGACCGGTACTGCTCTTCTGATTCATCGTCACTCAGATCATGACTGTGGGGTAATCGTGGATACGTACCTTGTCATCTTGAGGTCGACATTGCTCCAGTGCGCTGATGAGGACTTTTGACATGCCACGTGGCACACTGTAGTAGAACTTCGGATATGCATTCAGACTATTGATTATTTGAGGTGGTGATTGAGGAGGGAGCCCGAAGCAGGAGTGGGCCTTGTTTTTATTCCTCTCCTTTGTCTAATCTCCCTCCTCTCTCCTTCGTCTGTGTATGATTATCCCATCTCATTTTAGCTAGACACGAGTCTGATTATTTATAATCATTAGCAGGTTGACATTCATCTGGGCTTGCATTGTTGACAAGTGTCTTCACGATCTGGGTTCATTACACATCCATGAATATAAAGTTAAACTGGGATACAATCTCCTAATTAAAACCACGGATCTGGATCCCACAATAAAAAATAAATGGACGAAGTTGATTGGTCAGGAAGCCACTGAGATATCACAGATACCGTGGCAGAAATTCAAATCAATCCGACCGGTTAAAATTAGAACCCTCCAATGGCTTATCTCATACGTAGCGTTACCTGTCAACCAATGGCTGCATATCAGAAGAAGACATAATGACCCCAATAGCTCTGGCCTGTGCGTAGTATGCTTGGAAAATGAACCTGAAGATATGATACACTGTTTAATAAGGTGCAGAGAAGCGACGGAATATTGGGCCAGGGCATCGGACCCTCTGGGCCTCCCTTTTCCCGACTCCCCTCCCCGAACACCCCATCCAACTCCTCCAATGGACTAACATTCCGGCTCATTTCCACAAGTCAAAGATATGGTTTGGGATGATCAGAAAAGTAACAGTCTGGTCTATATGGAAGGAAAGGTGCAGCAGAACCATTGAAGGGCTATCAACACCAAGGGAGAAAGTTTGGGCAGAGACAAGGACACAAATTCAGGCAGAGATTTTGTTCAAGTGGCAGAAGACTTCCGCATGCGATGGAAGGACTGGCACAACTCAGAAGTGGGCATGAGAAGACAGAGAATCCAGCAAGCTCCATCACAGGCCACATAAGTATCATAGCAAAAGGCTTTGAACCTACAAGTGCGAACAAGTGTGAAGACTGGGGATGTCCCTTCGCTTATCCCTTTCTTGTGCTTCGAGATAAATATGAAGCGTCCTAGTTAGATAGACCTGAGAGGAAAGGTGGAAGTAAGGCAAGCTGATAGTCAATCCTCCATACTGTTGGAGTATCCTTCGGCCAGACGGAAGGAAGCATGAGTCTGTTGATATTATTAATTTTTGACTTGCCGGTGGAATAGGAACCAGACTGACACTTCCCAGAATGGATATGGAGCCAGGACCATAAGGACCTGTTTTGTTTTAAAAAAAAGAAAAAAAAGAAATACCAGCTGTTGATCCTATACCTGTTTGCTGAAACGGCGAAGTTTGAATTTGGGTGCAAACATTGGCGTGGCGGGTTCTGTCCTCCAGTAACTGTCTCTGTTTATGTTCGAACAGTAATCGTCGGTTCAATCTCTCTGCCCTGTACTCTTCCTTCCTGCTGTGGTCAATTACAAAATTTTAAATTTCCCTTCTGTAGTCAATTACAAAATTTTAAATTTCCCTTCTGAACTGATTGCTACTGGTCATTTCTGTGCAGACTAAATCATGGTTATTCTTCATACAAATCTGAGAAATTGTTTGACAACCGAAACGGGGATTACATCCAGTTCTCAGACATGAAGGTCTGGACCAAATCATTTAATTTCATTTTGTTTTTCATTGTCTATTATTGTTTCACATTGTGCACTCTAGAGCTTAAATCTCTGACTTCAAGTGGGGGCGTGACAGGCAACACAAACCCCAACTCCCTGTCAGTCGCTGAGTACCTTGAAAGCGGGCACAGTGGGTGACAGATGCTGTTGTCCTTGGCTTCAGCAAGTGACAGGTGCGAGGCCCAAGGCCTCGATCTGCCCTATAGGGCCCTGTTTTCTGTACAGTCGGCCACCCTAAGTGAAGGCAGGCTCGACCCAGGGCCTCCAGGCCTACTTTTGGGGTCACCGTGCAACTGGGCAATTTCAGGCAGTTGTGCAGCGCCAGTTGGTTGAGAGCGCCCAGGCCCAGGCTTCCTTTTCTGTATGTAACTGAGGCAGGCCCTGGGCCAGATATGCAAAATGGACCGAACACAGGCCGAGGGCAGTTGGACACGGTCAACCACCAGAGGCCCAGGGCCTGATTCTTTTGGACTGCGGCGCAGCCTCTCTGGGCCTACCGGAAGCTTCTGAGGAGGGGCCCAGCGCAGCCAGGCTCCACGTAGCAGGCAGGCAATTTCCATTTAGGAAAGTGCCTGCCCACGCATTCCTCATTCGGGCACTGGCTGCATGCTGCGCAAGCGCTGCTGCGCTAGACACTGGCCAGCGTTCACGCGCTCGCGGGCGAGCTGAATGAGCAGGCAGCCATAGCCGAGCTGCGCTGCTGTATGCTGGATGGGGCGCATGGTGGTCCTTGGGTGCACGTGGCATCTGTGAGTGGGGGATCGAGGTTGTGAGTGATACAAGAGACATACCTGGTGCTTGAGGCGAACGGCATTGGCCGAGATCTGCTCATACTGCGGGGAGCTGTTGACGTCACCAGCGGCATTGTAGATAGGCTAGATAGGATCTGCCAGTGGTAGTCTGGGCGCAGAGCGCCAGATAGGATGTCGACATTGGTTCTTTGTTGATGATGATGAGAATATTCGAACATTGTCACATATGAGTTTTTGCTGTTCTCTTATTTGGTGGAACTCGTGTTGCAATTCTGCTTTGGTTCAAGGTCCCGACTATCTGGTCACATGTTTATGATGCTGCTCGGTTTCTGAAGTTCGCTGTCGCTCATTTTCCTTGCACAGGTGTTTTCTCCCCCGCATTTCCCGACACTGGGACCATCTGGGGCTGGGACAATTTGGGACCCTGGAACCCGGACTCGGGTGTCTGCAATGTGAAATCCTTTCACCCTTTTTGGAAACCCTCCATTTACCCAGCTGGGTCCCCTCTTCCCTGTCTGGACTGGGTATGTCTGGCCGGTCAGGCAGATAGCTCAGACAAAAAAGTATTTCCCCAAAGCTTGGCAAAACGTGTCCACGGCTATCAGCCTACCACAGAGGGTTTCAAACTCCTTTTCTCTTTTTCTTCCCCACCTCCCCCTTTTCTTTCAGCTATCACCGAGTTTTGTTCCTTAACTCAGCAATATCTTGAAAACTCATGCACTCACCTAAAGCGATGTACGACTCCTTTCGCAGGTCAAAAAACGAGATCCGACCTCCGCCGCCTCCACACGTCAAGATGTTGTCCTTAAAACTCAGTGATCGAACACCTGTAAAGCAAATCCAAGTGCACATGAAAAGATAAACAGGACTTCAAAAAAAAAATTAAAAAATCAGGACTTTTGTTGCAGGACCTTTCTTCTGGGAAAATACAAAAAGAAAAACCAAACAGATATTGCAGGACCTTTCTTCTCCGAAAATACAAAAAGAAAAATTAAACAGACAATCCAATCAACATCAATCAAGCATCTGCTGATAGTAACTGTCAAACGATGCAAAGCTCACCCATACCCTCATCGTCATCATCGTCATCACCCTTCACAACTGCTGCCTGCAACTACTCATGATCACCATCATGAAACGACAACGTCAAACTCTAAGCCTTTTCCTCTTGTGGCCAATGCTGGGCCCAGATTGTACCTGCCTCGGCCCGTGCTAGACCCAGATGGTACCCGCCCAGATGGTACCCACCCAGACAGTACCCACCCAGATGCCACCCACACAGTACCCGTCCCGATGGTACCCGCTCAGATGGTACCCACCTGAGCCCACCCAGATGGCACCTGTCCTGGAACGCACCCAGATGGCACCCACCTATGCTGGGCCGAGAGTGGCCCAGATGGTACCGACCTGAGCTGAACACGGGAACCACCTGGGCCAACATGGTGGGTACCATCTGGGCGGGTATCCCCATGTTCCTGTCACGAGGGCAGGAAGTGCAGAAAGGGAAGGTCTGAGAATGGAGTGGGAAATACAATGGGGAAATGTCGTACAGAATTGGAATTTCAACATGATTACAATTTTGAAATTTACTACGGAAACTGATCAAACTGCGAAGGACACCCAAACAAGAGAGCAGCAAAGAAGAGTTCAGGGGAGAAGGTTGTATGGCTATGAAGGTATAGACATCTGTTGAGTCTTCAATGTCGACAGAGGACAAACTTGAGAAAGTGATTAGGAGCTGATTGGTAAGCAATCTCTTTGCTTTGTTCTGAGTGTTCTGTCATGGGGTCGAGAGGCCATCATTTTTTTTATTTTTTTTTGGGTGGGCGGAAATGGGGGACCGATTCCTTTCCTTGTTGTCAAAGAAAACATATTAATAGGAGGATTGGGATGACAGAAGTCTACAATGGGACTGCAGAGGGCTGGGGTACAGGAGGTCAATAGCGGCTACTAGTGGAAAAAATATATATTGGAGCAGAGAGAGCGGTGTGAGGAAAGAATTAGAGTATGGATTGGAAGGGGCAATTGTGGAACTGTGGTAAAGTGATTTGGCCAGTGGCCAGAGCATAGAGTGTGGCAATGTTTCGGTAGCAAAATCATTTTTGCAATACAGAGGGAGTTGACGATCAGGGGGCTCGGATCTCCCCTGAGAGTCTGGGTACACTGTGCATCTCCCGGCTAGAGGAATTCGAACAGACGGTATTCAGGCTGCTCCCCTCTGAAGGACAACAGTAGCTCGCTGCCCTGGGCGACTAGACCCCGGGTAGAACTGCCTTTCTTTCTCTTCTGCTTCACGCTTGCTGATGATAAGCAACCGGACTGCCCCCCCCCAGAATGGATGGGGCTTGAGTGAGTGTTTGTGTAAGAAAAGACAAAAACAACATCTCAAAACAACAACTACGTTGTGAGGAAACCCGGGGAGGGGCGCCTACTGCTCGCTGAAGCCAAGGGCTACGGTGCCTGTCACTTCACCGCGCCCGCTTCCGAGGTCCTCAGCGACCAGCAGGGGGACGGTGGGAGTTCTTGCACCGACTTTTGACGATCGTTGCTTGAGAGCCGCAACCCAACTTAGTACTGATGATTTCACTTAATACAGAAGTAAAACATAAGCACGACGTTCTGGTGATTTGACTTATCTCGGAACTGAAATGATGAAAGGAAAACAAACGATTAAGGATCAGGGAGTCTCTCTCTCAGCTCTCGCAGAAGACTTCTCTGTTGTTGCCCGAAACCAGGAAATGGATCTGACTAATCACAAGGACAGCTCTTGATCTGTCACCAATACACAACGAGGATTAGTAGCGTTGGCGGAGCTTTCATAACAGCATCTAGAACCCAAGCAATCACCGGGCAGCGTCTGTTCGTTTGAACAGTGAGCAATGCACTTTCAATCCCCCTGTTCTGTGTTCACCTGTTCACACATAGAGCGGTCAGATCTCGTCTCACCAAAGGGGAGAATGCATTTGACCCCTAGATTAGCCCCTTTTTCCGTCTTCCTGCTTCGTTCTCGTACTCTTACACTCTCTCACCAGTTCTCCCTTGCGCACACTCTTCCGTCTCTCTCCCTCTGCATTCATTTATCCGGAGGGGATCTGTGGACGTTTATTTGAGGAACCCCCCCCTTTTCTATATATTCAACATGCCCGCTCAATTTTGTTTAGTCCTGAACTCGTCGAGCTGAGCGCCACAAAATTAAGGAGAGAAAACTTAGAGTTATATACGTAAAATAAAATCAGATAAATTGTTTGTATTTCATCGAAAAGCTGACCGACCCCGTCGGCAAAGGGGATTACTTGTTTGATTGGCTGTCAAGAGAGTGTAGCTGTTCCTGTCTGAAGCGACGAACTGGTTCGGTCAGAATCTCTTAGACTGGTTGATCTCACCTGCAGCGTTGCTTGGACTGTGCCACAGAAAACAACTGCCCGCTTCGCAGCGCTGATCGGGTTGATTCACTGGAACTTGCCGATCCCGCCTCCAGCGGGAAAGCTTAATTGGAATGTATCACTGAAACTGGCTGTTTCCTCATAGAGCGCCGATTGGGACGGATCACTGGAGCTCGCTGTTCCCGCCTCCAGCGGGGAAAATAAAAAGTCTTAAATGGACTGTTTCACTCAAACTGACTGTTTCCGCATGGAGCGCCGATTAGGCCGGATCGCTGGAGCTTGCTGTTCCCGCCTCCAGCGGGGAAACTTAGTTAGACCGTATCTCTGGGACTGTCTGTTTCGCACGGCTGCCTTCTCTTCTCATAGCGTTCTCTCGGTGCCGCTAGTTGAAGGCCTGTTTGGTTCCTAACTGGGAAGCCGCTCCCGTCACGGCCCTCCCCTCTCTAGCCTGAAATGGTTCTTGTTTCCCTCTCACTCTCGTGTACTCAGGCAACCTCTCCTTTAACAGTCTCTTGCGCATCGCTCTCGCTGCGCCAGCGTTCCCCCCATCTTTCTCGCTCACGACTCCTTTTCACGCGTGCATAATGCGATTCTGAGCGCTTACTGCCGGTCTCACAAGAGTGTATTCGGTACCACTTTCATCCATTCGGAGGATAAGGAATCAGTAGCGGTAATGCTTATGGTAGTAATAATGATAATATTATTCGAAATAATAATATCAATCATTACTATGGCTGACACACACTAGCCTTTAGCGCATGCTTCTTTTACTACTACTCACCTACTAGCAGATTCTGACCTCGGACAACACGAGTCAGAAGCGTCTCGCAGCAGCCGCGCTCGCCAATAAACACGCTCCCCTCATTGCCCCGTTCTTGATGTCTCCCTTCTACCCCGATCCGCCTATCTCAGGCAAGCTAGTTCGCACGGGGCAGCTGCGTACGTCTGCTGCGCTTGTACCCTCCCTGCCCGAAGCGATGGCGGGAACTACGCACACCTGGCTCGCACTCCACGCTGAATCGAGTCCTCCCCCGTCGCGCGCACCCGCCTATTGTTAGCTCTCTGCAACCTTCCCTGCATCGAACTGAGATGCGGGCTGGGTACACCCCGCTCACTGTGCGTCCCTCCCCCGTACGCCCGTGATGGGCGGTGTACACCTTGCCAGCTCCCGACGCAACAACCTCCGAACATCTCCCCCTCGTACACCGTGCACGCTTCCAACTACCTCTCTCCTCTCACCCCCACTCGCGGTGAAACCGTCCAAGTGCCGATGCCGCCACCCCGAGCTTGCTAGCGTGGGTACACCTTGCTCGCTCCCTGTTTTTCTCCCCTGGTTTCTCAACTGCCCCGGCTATATCCGCGTAGAGTCAGCCTCGTAGGCTCAACACCACGGGTTCTATTCGAGGCAAAACGGTACCTGAGTCTTCCGGCCCCGACTAGGCAATGAACAGGCCCAGGGCAGTAGACCCAGTACTCCAACTGTGGTGGTAGCAAGGGCCCTCAGACCAGGAGTCATTTCGCAGCAGGGCTAGCACCAGTTAGCCTTATCTGAAGGCTCGATAGCCGCTGCAAGTCGATTGCCGAAATAACTTTACCAACCAGGTCTCGAACTGTACCTGCTCCACGAGTGTACCTAAATCGAGGTACCGAGCCTCAAGGCCTGGTGAGGTAAGATCCATCTTGCTAATTGCACCTGAAGTAATCGCCACAAACAATAAAGGCCTGTGTCGCCACCGTACCAATGCTGAAGCCAGGGAATTGCCAGTCCGAATCGTAGCCGTCCGTACCATACCATCACCGAACCTGGAAACAACACAGTGGCGTGCACCATACCGTTGCCGAACCAGGGAATTACCAGTATGAACCGTGGCCGTCCGTACCATACCATCACCGGACCTGAAAACAACGCAGTGGCGTGCACCATACCGTTGTCGAACCAGGGAATTACCAGTCTGAACCGTGGCCGTCCGTACCATACCATCACCGAACCTGAAAACAACGCGATGGCGTGCACCATACTGCTGCCGAACCAGGGAGCACGCAACCGCCGAGTCGTACCGAACCTGAAGTAGACTGCCGTCAAGGTTCCGAACCTGAAATAAATTGTCATAGTTGATCCGGACCCGAAATAGGTTGTCATGACAGTGCCAAAGCTAAAATAAACTAATGCCGAGCCCATACCGATCCACGTGCATGCCGGGTACCGTAGGACGCGGCCTCTCCATTACAATACCGAACCTTTCCAAACCATGTTCCCGTACCGAGCCAAACACCATACTGTCGATCCAAGGTAGCACCACCCCATGCTGTTCCGTGCGGCTTCCACTCTCAGAACATCCCAACCACGGTAATGCTAGTAATCAAGCAAACCTGGGAAAGTGACGCAGGGTACCTCGACCATCGGCGTAGCGAAAACTGTTAGAATCCGGGGAAAAAGATCAATCCGGGATTAGAGCTGATGGCGGGCAATCGGGGCAAAAATCAGGTCAATCTCCCAGTAGTCATGGGTCCCTGTCCCTCTCATTGTTTTTAATCATTGTTTCTTTTTCTTAATTCTATCGTCGGAAATAGTAGATCAGTCATAAGTTCCCCAAAATTAATTTCCGAGAAAGTTTAAATAAATGGCCGAATTTCTTTTGTTTCTTCTCTCCTTTTCCATCTTTAAATCTCTTTCTATGTTTTTAAATTTATTGCCGGGATCACAAAATACAAGGTTTTTTTCCCCCTAGATTTACATGCCGTGTAAAATAAAGAAATTAAAGGATATTATGTTTTTCCCTTTTCCCCTACTGGTCTTAATCCCTTTTCCCCATCTTTAATTATGGTACTAAAATAGTCAAAAATTTAAGGCCTCTTTTCGGCCCCTGTCGTATGCTGCAAAAACGTTGCGGCGAGGTCTGTTCCCGCGATGCCTCTCCGCGGCAGGCCAATCCGGGTCTAACCCTCTGAACAGCCGGAAATGACGGTCTCTAGATACGCCGAGTGCGGCCACCCATCTTGCCATCTTTGAGGGTTACTCGCGGGGTTCAGTGCGCCCAAAATCAGGGGTGCCCTGGGTTCCCCTAATTTCTGCTGCCCGGTCATTCCAGAGTACCATCAAAACACGGACTTGTCCCTGAGCCTAAGCCCCAAAGCCGCAGATTTCAGGCGGCGCACTGCTTGTGGCCGCCTGACAACTTCTCCCGCTTCTTTTTTCTGCCCGAAACTGTATGCACACCTATCTTCAGGGGTTTGGCCTATCTAGATAGTTTGGCTGGCGGTGCCAGCGAAAAAAAAAAAAAAAAATCCGCCCACCGTTTTGTTTTCCTTTTGGCGCGCAGCACAGTTCGCCTTGGGAAAAAGAGACCCGGACATAGTGCTGGTTTCAAGTGCCGGTGCTGCAGACCCCAAACTGGCCAAACGGATTCAACCGGTACCCGCCAGGCTGGTACACTCTCAAAATAACTTTCAGCGTGAGCCTGCATAGCTCAGGTGGTAGATCATTCCCTTCGTAAGGGAAAGGCCTCCGGTTCAAGTCCAGTTGTAGGTTCCATCGTAAGTTAAAAGAGATATATGTATATATATCAAACAGAATTTCCTGGTAAACCGTAGGCAGAGATGGAGAAGAGGACAACAAACAAGGGGCTGTGTCGCATACCGTAAAAGTGCAGACCAGAACAAGAACCGACCTCTCTCACTTAGTACAAGATAGCACAGTGGAAGGCTTAAATACCAATGATCCGAACAATCAATGTTGCAATGCAGCCCAAACATGCATCATCATCATTCCATGGTGTGAAGGGGCCTGGCGCTCACACAGGAAGAATGCACCCGTCCCCAACCATACACAGACGAAGAAGAGGGGGGTTAGACAAAGAAGAGGGGAAGATGGGAATGTCGTCAACACCAAGTCTTCGGTACAGGTCCCAAATAATCCCTCGTCAAATGTCTGAATCCCAATGTCGAGTC